TGGATCGCGACGCTCGCGCGAAACTAATTGTGAATACGTGAAAAGTTTCGGCCAGAGGAAGAGGAGGGCGCCGAGAGGGGAGGTAAGGAAAGAAAACGAAGATTGGCAGGGAAGAGGGAGATTTGGGACGCCTCTGAAAATCGGGCGGAGCTTTCTCGACAACGAGAAGTGTCTTCCCTCTTGGCTTGGCCACTTCTCGTCCTCCTACTTCGCTTTTCCTGGGGGTTTTCGTCCAATCGTTTGGTACTGCGTCATCTGCAGCCACCTGGTCCATCCTTTCCTCTTCCGTCCTCTTTCCGAGTACGTATTCACGAATACGTGTCTTTTTTTTCTCTTTTCTTTTCGTATGGAATTTGACTTTTGCTCTGATTTTTTTTCTTCCGGATATCCGGATGTCGTATTTTTTTTTTTTAATTAAGTTACGATCTTCTTGGTTATCTTGGTTTTCGATCAAATGTTGGATCGTGATTAATTTTAGAAATGAAAGGTGTGTAATTGATTTTTAAGGTTAAAAAGATTATTCGTTTTAAGAATCTTTATTTTTATTCGAATCGTGATTCAATTTGTTCTTTTCTCATTTAAACGGAGATTCAGTTTGTATAAACGACTCGTGCGTGTTATATATTAGACGTGTATATATATATTCATATATATTAATTTGTTTGATTAAATCATCTCGTAAATCAACTCTGAGAAATTACATAAATTCGCATTTAAGCAAACGTGTTAATGTTATCTGGTTAAAAATTTTTGAACTAAAGTTCTATAACCATTTATCTTCTAATATTACTACTTTTTCCCATTCAGAGATTTCTATTAAAAGGAAAAAAAAAATCGATCCATTAATCGTATTTAAATCCTTGTAAACGGGCTGTCAACCATTTCGTTGAAAGGAGGATTCGAAATGGATCCTGTAATATGAGGTGTGCGGTGACCCTGCTGATCCCACTTAACATCCTGAAGCAGGAGTTGACTTATTGCTCGACAAATTCGTTCCTTCGCAATTTGATACATTTCTATGTAATTGGTCATGTTTCTTTCTCAAGATATATATATACATGTATTTGTAACTATGCACCCGTGTAGAATGGAATTTAAAAAAAAAAAGAAAGCATAAAAATTAAAGTGAGATCGAATTGAATTTCATTGAAAAATTGGAATTTTGCATCGTTTCTTTACGCTATACATTCTTTATTACTTGACAATTAAATTATATAAACTATATTTTAAGAAATAAATATTTATAATATTTTAAATAAATATATTTATTGAATAAATATACGTTTTTATAAAAGAAAGGATCTTCAGGCATAAACAAAAAAGTATTAGATAGAAAATCACAAATTACTTATGGTTTTCACCTGTATTCTATACTTATGGAGATATTTGCATATAGATGTCGACGCTGGAATCATCCGAATCAAATTCTCGATCGCAGAAATCTGTAAAAAGTACGTAAAAGATCTAAGAGTGTTATTTTTTTATTATTTAATTATAATTTTTTTTATAATAATATAATATATTTATACGTACATTGTTGCAAATTTGAACGTAATATCGTAGTTTATGATTTTACCGTAGGAAGGCGCTCGTGGAGCAAGTTAAAAATGGCTGATGATATACGAATGCATTTGCGAATCGCGAGTCGATTCGTGTTCTTCGGTCGTTACTTTTTGTGATTTTCTCACGTGTAGTGGCATTTCTTTGCGTGTTTGTAAAATATTAATAATATTAATTCAAATTTTTTCATGTATAACAATTAATTGGAAAGGAACAAAGGAAATAAAATATTCGGAATATTTTAACGAAAGTTCCCGAAGGTGATTCATTGTCTAACTGAATTTTTAGCTTAGAAAGATCGTGTTTTGGAGAAAATTCGTAAGTACCAAAATAGTAATAATCAATAACTAAATTATTTGATACTGATTTTTTTTATGTAATTATGTACTTTAAAGAGGTTAGGTTGTATATTTGTATACGAAACATGATAAAGTTCAATATTACGAAATCAATAATTGTTTATGTGTTATTTAAATCATTTTTTTTTAATGAATGTTACATAAATACTTGTAAAAACTTCTAAATTAATTGTTTGTTTAAAATTTTACTCGAAATAATGTAAAACGCGAAACTTTTCTTTGTTAATATAATGAAGAAAAAAACAAAGAACATTATGTTAATTAATTTAGATCGATTTTTAAGTAAGAATACAATATTACGATTTTACAGTTACATTACGAATAAAATTTTAATTAAATATGACTGAAGAACACCAATTACCCTCTGATTCTGATGAAGATGATGAAGATTATATTCCCGATGGTGCAGATAGTGAGCCAGTATCTGAAGTAGAATCTGAAGGTGATGCAGAGAGTGGTCCTGAAGATGAGAATGATGAAAACCAAAGAGAAACGACAAAGAAAAGAGGAAGAAAGAAAAATAAAGTTATAAAATCTAAAATTAGAAAGCGTAGAAGAACAAGGAAAAAGATAACAGAGAATAAGAATGATGAAAAAGAGGAAAAACAACAAAAAGAAGAATCTATTGAGAAAAAAGAACTTACCGAAGAAGAGGAGAAAAAAAGGGCTGATTCTCTTTGGGCTGATTTTATGAAAGACACAGGTAATTAATTTCAATTATGTATTTAATATTTAGTTAATTATAATTAATGAAATATATACGTATATATATATTGTATATTTTTTGTATTTTTTAAAGCAATGACACCTAAACCTAAGCAACAAAATGTAACAAATAAATCTAAAGAGAGATCTCCATCTATAGAAAAGCCAAAAGTAGAAGAAAAAGTAAAAATAACTAAAGTATTTGAATTTGCTGGTGAAGAAGTAAAAGTAGAAAAAGAAGTCTCCATAGATTCGGCAGAAGCAAGAATATCTCTATCTTCTGCTGAGAATTCTGAGAAAACAGGAAATTCTGGATCTCCTGCGGGTAGAGGATCTGGAAGAGGTAGAGGTTTCAAGCGGGCTGGTCTAGGGGGTATTTCTTCTGTCCTTGGTCAATTAGGAAAGAAGGCGAAAATTAGTACGTTAGAAAAGTCCAAACTAGATTGGGATAATTATAAGAAACAAGAGAATTTGGAGGAAGAAATTAGTACTCATAACAAAGGCAAGGATGGATATTTAGAACGTCAAGATTTCTTACAAAGGGCAGATTTGCGACAGTTTGAAATTGAAAAGCAATTACGTAATGCAAATAGACGTAGTACACGGTGAATTTATAATTTTATGTATATATATTTTATATATATATATATATCTTCCCTAACAATGAAAACCAGAAATGGTATTGAGAAAAATATCTTATTAGAATTGCCAATTATTGGCGCTTGTAGCACATATTTACTCGAATTGTTTAAACTCTTACTAAATATCTCATGCCATGTATAAAAATGTGATTGCCTCGCTTGGCTTGACAATCGGCTGGATCTGGTTAAGAAACGGTTGAGAGCCAATTCTGTGAGAAGAGACTGATCATTCCAATGTATCGAAGATAATATAGTACGTTATGTAATAGTCTAATGTATCATCTGCGAGCGTTGTCTCGATCCATTATATCACAGAACTTCGCATCGAAGCAGGATGTTTGAAGCTTGGTGCTTCGGAGACCGACGATATATATTCTAACAATAAACAAGCTCCAGAGATGTTTTTATTCCATTTCAGTGGAAGAAAGGATGATTGATGACAGTGTAGATTAGTGTAGGTATTTAATAAAGTGTCGTTTGAATGATAAATGAATACATATATACCAGTATGTATTCTAGTATGTATGCCTTAGAAATAATCATGACATTTTTCTTCATTTACGATCACTGCCTTGGGCGAGTCACGAGAAACATTTTATTATATTTATAGACGAGATAGAAAACCTAGATTATTGTTACAGAATTACAAATGAGAGATTACAGCAATTGTTTTATATTTTTTCAACTATATCTATTTATCATATTTATTCACAAAATTACGACATGGCATATCTGCGAAAAATAACATGTCAATATAGTTCAATCATTAATTCATTTGAAAAAAAATCAATTTTTAAAGCTCAGGTTTACAATTTCTAGAATATTTGTAAAAAATAATGTCTTACGGATGTGTATGAAATTTCTTTATGTCTATGAACTATTTAACATCGTAAAAATAAAGATGTACGTTAAATATTTAAACCATTTTATATTCATGGCTTAATAGCATTAATTTATATATATATATAAATTATATATATATATATATATATATATGTGATTGAAAACATCAAACATATACTGTTTACTGTTTGTCGTTTACGTTGCGTCCTTCGCTTGGCGATGTACTTTTTTCTCCGTTTTTTTCTTTAACATAAAGGAATCTTTAAATTTATTATACATCCTGTAAGAAATGATCGACATTTGGACGCTATTTAATATTTCATACAAATTATCGATTTATAATTTACATTCACTATTACTTAATTATACAAGCCAATATAAATTCAAAATATCTCTTAGTCTCGTTGTATACGAATGGATTTCGTGGTATATAATAACCAACAATAAAAAAACCCTATTCGTTTATACATCGAGCCTTTGAGTAGCTATATTGATTTTGTAAGCAAATATAGACGAAATATTTATCAGAAGTACCGTTTTCATCGTTACCTTTATTTAGCAAAATTTCACTTTCCTTTTCTCCTGAAATGAAAGAATACGAGTTTACTTTTTTTCAATATAGTATTATAAATTATTTTCGTGTTCACAATAATTTCACAAATATTTACCATAATTCGATTTTGATTTCGAAAAGAATTTCCGCAACATCGGTGTTCAATATATTCATTTTTATTTTTTTTACTAAAATAAAAATAATTATTAGCAATACTTTGTCAATAATCGTATTACGATTATGTTAATTTTTCATACCGAGTTCTAAATTTTCGTATTTTATTACGTAACCTGGAGAATCCTTTGACAAATATATTTTTCTTTGGACTAAATTTCAAGTTATGAAAACGTTATTTCGTATACTATATAAAAATATTTATTATGTTAATGATTCTAACCTTTGTTCACGGTATTTTGGGCATAATGTTCCTTTAAACGGCTTTTCTTTATTATTAGAATAGCAATAATCTATCGAATCTTTTTTTTTCTTTTTTATCTAAAATAAAAATTGAATTTTATCAGATCGTATTATCGCTATATTGTCGCGAATGAATTTTTTTCTTGATTTTAATATAATGATTATGATTTTTATAAAAAATAATGAGTAATTTTAAACGATATATATATATATTACTTTTTCCCTTATACAGCAACAGTCATTATATTTTGAAAGAAATGTGCACGTTGACGAACATTTGCACAATTTTTTTAAGTCTTCTGAACTGGATTTTTTAATGCATTTACAAGAAATTGATTGTTCTATAATCTTCATGCATTTTCGTGAATTTGGAGTTACTTTATCAATTATTTTTTTTGCCTTACTTTCGTGGCAAATTATTCTTTTGGGACATTGACATATTATTCTTGGGGTTGGTTTTGGAATCGCGTTGCAGGTTTTTGTTCTGTAATTCAAAGATTAAGATATTAGACAAACAAATTGTGTCCAAAAGAAAAAATTTAAAGAAATGAGAATAGAAATAAGAATTTTAAAGAATTAGAAAAACTATTCCTTTTCGTATAGTAGATGGATGCAATAAAGATTATAATTTATTTATCATCCTCTCACCGACATATCGACAATGACGTAGTACTTTCTATGCATTTCGTAGTTTGACATTTTTTGCTAGAAGTCAAATGAAAATTTTTAGACATAAATTATACATCGTTCTCTTCATTCCTTCAAGTAATAACAATTTTTGAAAAAGATTGAAATGCTAAAATTTTTTTTACATACTTTAAATTATTCAATTTTTTTTTCAATTTCTTCTTCTGCTTTTTTATTTCTTTCTTCTTTTTCTTATTAATTAACGTAGTTGTTGAAGTACTCGCATTATATCTCCTTGAACGATAATGTTTTTATATAAAACTTACATTACGTGTAAAAATATATATATATATATATATAAATAATTTTTAGTAATACTTTATACAAGGATGGTTTGCCGGACATGTTGGATCCTTACATATTCTTCTCATTTTTCGTTACTCTCTTTCAAATTTTAACCTGATAAATATTCAAAGATGATGTATATACATACATAATACGAATCTTACTACTGTTAGATTGAATAAAATTTATATTATTAATTATCGAAAAATGATGTCTTGCTTAGATTAAGATTTAAACGATCACTTACTTGTGTAGATTTTTCATTAACCTCCCGATTTCGCGGAGGACGTAAACCTCAACATTTCTTTCTCTTTTTATTATAACGTACATATTCTAAACAATATTTGTTCATTTTAGTAAGGAATACCAATCGGTGCAAAATATTTCTTCGTCGTAATTTATCATTTTTCAATAATTTAAAAACGCGAGTTCCATGTAAATGACCTAACCTTGATTTTACTCATTGCTTTGACAAGTCTGATCTTGTCGAGAATATTATTTTTCCGAAACTCCGTTTCGAGTTCAATTATCGCGAAAATCGATCGATCGAATTATATCTCGTCCGCTCGATGCAACATTCCGATCCCCAAACATTGTTATCTTGACGTCTCGACATTAGCTAAACGGTCGATTAAATATCTGATCCCTCGTATCAAATATCGGGGCAAATTCTATTATAATAGCGACATAATGAACGATCGTCGTACGATTGATTTTTGATTCCGATTGACATTATTTTCGCGATAACTTTGCATCGCGTGTAAAACAACTCACGATAATATCAAACTTACAAATATTTATTCGCGAATTTATCAACATTTTATCTATGATTATTTTACAGGAAGGAAAATTTGTATTTCTCTTTACAGAAAATCAATGCTCGTTTCCGATTCAATCGTATATATGATATAAAGAGAAGAAAATCGAAAATACATAACCTCTACGAATAATTCGAAACAGCAAGTGTAACAAGAATATCACAACGAGAAATTCAAATACGATTCTTACAAAGAAGAAGAAGAAAAAGAAGAGACGAAAAATCTTGTTCGAACCTTCGTAAGTTTCTCCTTTAAAAAGAATAAAAGAGCAATTCTTCCTTTTATCTCAACACGTCATCGCGAAAAAACATCTATTAAAATCCACTTTGCGATCTTTTCGTATCAAAGCGGTCAAATACGCGTGGAATTAATTAAACCAGCGGATCGAGTCGTGTGCGAGTCGCGAATTTTTCAAGCGCCTGAGGCCACGTCGCTTTTTTTCCCCTCCCCTCTTTTTCCTGAATAATCCTCGCGATCTCGAAGGTGTCGCGAGCGTCGTAAAGTTGAATTACCATGATTCCACGCTGTTTGGATCAGCGGCGATGGGAGGACAAAGGAGGGGAGGCGGACGAAAGAGGAAGCCACGCGAACGGAGGCGGATCGTTGGATCGTGTGTGCAAAAGCGGGAATATCGACGCCAGACTGGCGGCCGTTAGTCGTGGCCTTGCCATCGGCAGTTTATACACGAACCGGAATATCTGTTCGACCATTCGTTCCTTGGCCAACTTCCATTCTTTTCAACACACCTCGAACAACCAACCTCTCCTTTTTCGTCAGAGAAAGAGAGAGAGAGAATGCACTTGTTACTTTCCCAATTGCTCGAGAAGAGGGCACGTGCATACATACGTGGCGAGATTAAGTTTGATCGAGGCGTTGAAAGCGTCTCTTTGTTCGGATCGGTCGGTGTTACTTGAATTTGACGAGCGACCGGAAATTGGAATTCAAGTGGAGGGTAATTTGACTTGAAAACGAGGAAAAACTTTCCGTCTCGATCCGGTCAAATCGTTATCGTTTGAGTAACTCGAATCAAGTTGGGACGTGATATTAAAAATGATGATGTGTGTTGGAATGCGTAACGATAAATCTAATATCTATTATACCATTGTAACTATTTATCTTCCAAAACGAGGACTTATCTTGATCTTATTCTATCCACGCACATAGGTACACAAAATGGAGAATAAAATGAAATACAACTAAACCGAAGAGAATCGAATTATTATTCTATTCCTTCAAAATCACCTAATTATATTTATCTCTAGGTAGTTATATTTTTCCCTTAAAAAAAAAAAAAAAATAAACGATTTCTGTTCACCTCAGAACAGAATTTTTTTTAACCTTCCATCGAAGGACGTCGAGTTTTGCGAAATTCGTGTATTTTAAATAAAAAGATCTTGTAATATTTAATCACTTTTATATAGCTAAGCTTTCAAACAAAGCTTTATTAAAACCAGAACAATCGGTCGTTTACAGAATGTAATGAATAATTGCTTCGACTCGTCGCGAGACAGAGTGATAAAGGTATAAAGTGTTAATAATAATTAAGAGCCGAGCTTTCAACACGAAAACCATTTTATTTTTTAAGCGAAATGAGCCTTCAATACGATTCGCGACGTTCCTTAATGGACACGCGTGAAAAGATATTCTTTGTGCTCTTTATTGGGCAAAACTGTGCGTTTTATAAGGCGTCGTGGAAAATCGCCTTTTTGCGTTTCTTCGACAATTAGGAACGAAACTTTGAACCGCCTTCGTACACTCCGTTTTGCGGATAATTACGACAAAAGAGGGGTAGACTTTTGCAATTGACGCAGTGGTCACGAAAAAAGAGAGGAAAAAAAGAAAAGAAAAGAAGAAAAATCTCTCCCGTTTTATCGAATAACATAAATTACAAAGGGATCGTGATAATAAAAAGCGCTGCGAGCCCTCAAAGTAAATTACGCAAGGTTGGTCGTACGTTGGATGATCTAAAAGCGAATTTGCGGGAGGAGGTGTTATTTTGTATAAAAGGGACGTTCAACAAAGGAATTATAATAAAGGTATAACGGTATAGATGGAAACGACTTGGTTGGGGGGGGGAAGGGTTGTTTAATTCCGTTCCGGTATTGGAAAACTCTTCTCTTTTTTCTCCCCTTGGAGGAGGGGAGGAAGGGCGAATCGATAGATAGATTATCGAAACAGTTGTGGATTTAATTATAATATCTGATGGACGAGACATCGTTACGTATAAAAAAGGTAGAGATAATGAGCAATTACAACTAGGTAGTTATAAATATATAATTTATCAGGAAAATAAAATTTTTAATCTTTCTTTTCAAAGTGAATTATATTCTAGCAAGATTTCCATCGAGGTAAATTATATTCACAATCATAATGATATTATATAATCTATAAGTCGTTGTTTTGTAAAAAATATTTAATTTTCTCAATTTTGATATTTTTTTTTATTGTTGTACATACCAATTGTTAATTAGAGGTAGCTTTTAGTTGCGAGACGAACAACAACGTGACAAACGGAGGATAATTAATGCTGTATTTTTGTTCGGGTATGCTTCCTTTAGGGGTAAGGGTAATTTCGGCGCACCTGAAGGAATCTCCAAGGCAAAAACGAGAAGATCTATTCTCATCGTCGTCCCTCCTTCTGAGTGATCAAGAATCCACTCCGGTTTCGTAGATTTTTTTCTACCAAACCGGGGATAAAATTCAGTGACGTAACGTGCTTAAAATCAATCCACGTACACGATATATTTTTTTTCTTTCTAATTTTATTTGGTCGTTCCGTAAGTAAGTAACATCAGTTTCAAAAGTTTCAAAAGTCAGTTTTCATTTCCAGTAAAGAATTTTTTTTAGCGAAGGTTTGGGAACAAAAAATCAAATCGACACGATCTTTCATAGAAATTAAAAGGTTAGACAAGTTTTACGAGGAAAACATTTAGCACGGATGTGAACAGATACACGTTTACTTGCAACGAAGTTCGTAGGGTGCTGTTACGAGCGAGTGTAGCTTTTGAATACGCCACTGATAAAATTCCAGGAATTCCTTTTGCCAGAAGCAGACTAGACGAGACTGGCAATAAGATTGATTCGCACTACCAAGATTCCAACGTCTGGTTTTATATACCTTGCGTGCCAACCAAACAGTCCGGAATTAAAGTTTATTTTCCACTCTTTCCCGTAGAAACTTCTTATTAACAACGAGTGTTCCACTTTTCCTCCGTGTTTTCAGAATACAAGAAAGTTCCACGAAATATCATTTTATATTGCAGATTTCATTTTTTTTTTTTTTTTTTTTTTGTGAAATTTGAATATTGCTCCTATCCTCCTAAGAGTAATCAGAGTTTAGAATCGAAGTAAAGAAAGAAAGTTCACGCATTCCATGAGGGTCTAAGTAAAAAAGAAGACGTCCACTCGTAAACGCAAAGACGTCCACTCGTGCCTAAAAGCACTTGGATCGGTATGTGGATCAATTATATCGAAGAAGAAACGTGGCACGAATTAATGCGCGCCAAGATATAACGCGTAAGAAAGGAAAGTCACGAGCTCGAAGTGGAACCATTCGACTCCTTTTTGCCATGTCCTTTCGTACTTAATTCCGACCCATGGCGCAAAGTATGCATCGTCGTTGCCATCTTCCTTTTAACGGCTCGTCCAGATGAAATAATTTCATCGGCCAACGACCATTGACATCGTTCCATTAAACGAATATTTCCTCTCCTTAGAAAAATATATTTTTTCCTCGGTTCAACGACAAAAATAAAATATATATATGTATATACATTCTCTTCTCGCAAAATTTTAACAATCGCATTATAATTATGCCGCGAGAAATTATGAAAAAAACTTGAAAAGTTACATTGCCACATGGTCGATCAATTAAGTACAGCGATGGGCAAAATTTAAGTTACGAATAATTAAAAGTTGCTTCGATAATAACTGTAGCGGCAAACAACAAAGCCGAGGTTATGCGAGGATCAACTGTAATAGCTACGAATAAACAAAACTTGAAAATTTATACATTACATCACCATATCGATTAAGATGGGCAAAATTTAATGGTTGAAGTTAATATTATTATAAAATAATTAACAGTTGCTTCGATAATAACTGTAGCGGCAAACAACAAAGCCGAGGTTATGCGAGGATCAACTGTAATAGCTACGAATAAACAAAACTTGAAAATTTATATATTACATCACCACATCGATTAAGATGGGCAAAATTTAATAATTTAATAATAAGTTAATATTATTATAAAATAATAATAAAATAATTAAGAGTTGCTTCGATAATAACTGTAGCGGCAAATAACAAAGCCGAGGTTATGCGAGGAATGAACTGTAATAGCTACGAATAAACAAAACTTTATATTTAAATTTATATATTACATCACCATATCGATTAAGATTTTGCAAAATTTAATGGTTGAAATTAATATTATTATAAAATAATTAACAATTGCTTCGATAATAATTGTAATGGCAAACAACAAAGTCGAGGTTATATATAAGGAATGTATCAACTCAACGATAACGAATAAACGTACGTAATCGTAAATAATTACTCGAACTAACTTTACTCGAAATTTTTAACCGGTCACTTTTTCAACAACTGATTAAGAGAATATTTTCGTCACGACGGAACACGAGTTACCGTTGAACAGTCTCCCATCTTCCATCTTTCTTCCTGTCTTAACGTCCCTCCGTTACACCCTCCGCGTAAACGAGCGCCCTTCGGTTAAACGTTTCTAGGTGGCCACGAAAGAGAAGCTAGTGTCGGGAAGAGAGACACACTGTTCGCTCTCTTCTTCTGTCTCAGAGCTAGCCCTTTCCATCTCGCTCCTTTCACAACCGTTCGCTCCTCGTCCAGCTCATTCGAGCAGGCATGTTTTATGGATAGGCTTCTAGAGGTTTCGCGGCGCCAGCTCTTCCTCTTAGGATACATCGG